GCAATCTTCATATGTCATAAAACAAGAAAGACTAAACCATAAGGAATAACTCTCTTTTTAAATTCCCAAATTTATGCCAATACCAATCTCCCGACAAATGGGAGAAGCCATCGAAATGAATTTGAATCATTTTAACTTCTATATGAGCCACGAGCGTTGCAGAAAGAAACTTCAGCACTCAACCCAGCATACAACTGAAAGTAAAGGTGAATGAAGAAAGCTCAAAGAACTTAAAAGAGAACAAAGCTTAAATTCCTTTCGAACGAAACATATAGCGTTTAATCAACTCAAAAAGCTCGACAAATAACCAGTTTTCAAAAGGGCATTTGCACCCTTCCAAATCGACGATTAATCGAGCCCACAACAAAGCTTCGAGAGTTTTCAAACCTTTCATAAATCAAAGATACATTAGTTCTCATTCTTTCAAAATGAAAGCCTCAATATTAAATATTCCGCAATACAATTCATTTGAGAATACAGGTTGATGCCAACTAAGTAAATAGCCAGAAGAACTTTCAAACTTTTGTAAATAGATCACCAAAAAGAAGTAAGCCTCAACCAGGAATACTCATTTAAAATCCTTCCATAAACAAAGCTTATATTTCTTCAAAAAAAAATCAGCAAGTGTGAGGAGAGGACGACGAGGCGAATATTGCAAAAACATATATAAAAACATATTTTTTTTTTAGTAAAGCAACTTCTATGCATGAAAAGATATATTTCACCTCTCAAATTTTCTAAAAGAGCAAAGGACTGAGACCCTCCAAATATTGCAATTTGCCAAATAAACCTATCAGATTTTTAAAAAAACAACAACAACGCACTGTGTGTTACATATGTAACTGCGTGAGAATTGCATGGTATGGAGGAAAATCTTCTAAATCAAATACTGTAGCGCCGCGCATACATATTAAGCACAAATTAGAAGCTTCAAAATTCCGTATAAAAAAGTAGCAACAATTTCAGATTTTATTCACACCACTAACACCTAACTTTATTTTTGCATTTATATTTTTCAAATCGGCCAATTAGGAGCAAAGGAGAGCTTCAAATCTTATCCCAAACATGCTGAAATGGAGCCTCAAATGTACTTAAGCATGTATTTCAACAAAACCGTGAGGTGAAGAGCAGGTAAAGAGCAAGAGTGACTCCAAAATAACCCCTAAGCATGCCGATATGGAGATTTCAATGCATTTAACCATGCATATCAGTAAAATAGTGCAATAGAGGGCAAGTAAGGGGCAGGAAAAGCCCCAAAATAACATCCTAAGCATCTTAACATGAAACTCCACCACATCATTTTCTCCTCCTTTTTTTTGTAGCAGAAGAGCATTAAAGCTCAAAACAAACCAACCAACAAACAATGACAGCAGTCCAGGAAAAGCCCCAAAATAACATCCTAAGCATCTTAAGATGAAACTCCACCACATCATTTTCTCCTCCCTTTTTTTGTAGCAGAAGAGCATTAAAGCCCAAAACAAACCAGCCAGCAAACAGTGACAGCAGTGGGTAGCTAAGGGAAAAGAAAATAGTGCTCTCCAAGTGCTAAAAAAAAAATTTAAGATGCATCTCTTACGATGCAACTTTTCTCTTTTTTTTTTTAAAGGCCTGAACGAGGAATATTGGGGAAAAAAGTATTCCAAAACAACATCTCCGCAACCAAACAAGAAACGAGCAAGAATATCAAGCAATAAAACAGTGATTGCCAGACAACCAACAAGAAGCTTGAACGATTGAGGGGGAGGGGGGAAAGGTGTTTACCTCTCAGTGGAAACCCAAATAAACTTCAAGAATAAACCCAGAATGATTTCGGTTCGGCAGCACCTCCCCCACTCTCTAAAATTTCAGCCTCGAAACCTCCACAAATCTTCTCCACAGCACTTCCACAAGGCCTCAAGTACACGAGATGAACAGAGCAAGGAAAATCGAACCAAGGAGATTTAGAGGAGATTTTGGCAGCACATCCACCCTCTCCAAAAATTTTCGGCCAACCCTAGAACTCCTCCCCAAGTGGGGTTTATATAGCCAGGGAAGAAGAGATGTGTTTCCCGTCACTTACCTGGGCGGTGAGCCGAACCAAGAGAAGCGACAAACCTCGCGTGAGGAGAGGACGACAGAGGCGAAACTGTCGCAGAAGAGCGTGGCACGGCTTGGAAACTTTTCGCAGGGCGGCAGGCGTTGCTTCGCGAGGAAGATGGCTACTTGGTCGGTCTCGCGAACGAAGGAAGGGGGGCTCGATCGGTCTCGCGAACGAAGGACGGGGCGAGACTCACGAACGGGCGAGGGAGGCGTGCGTGAGTTTAGGGATTTAGATATTTAAGGTATTTTAAAAAAGAAAATAAGGATTTTTTTTATTTAAAATGTATATATATATATATATATAAATTTTTGTGCAATTTATTCATGTGCGGCGCCCTAGAAAAATTGGTGTCTCCTGTAGGTAATTTCGACATTCCGGACGCATCGACGCGGTCTGTTTTGCCGTCAGAGGTCGTTTTGAAGAATTCATCGATTTGCGTGTCAATTTTCTCGTGTCGAAAATATGACAACATAGGTGTCTTTTCTTACCAAAATTGGTATTCCAGACGCGTTGGCAATCTATTTTGTCGTCGGAGGTCATCCGGAGAAGTTCGCATTTTCACCCGTCCTTTAGGCTAAATGGAAGTCCAATTTTGTGCAACTCAGTGAATTTTGTGCATTCGGTGTGTGTATGTGACGAAAAAGTCGTGACGATATTTTTCTAAGGCGTGGAGTCCTATTAGGAACTTTTCTCTTGAGTATTCACAAAATAGCTCATAACCGCTCGTTCATAAGACGATGGTCTTGTGCCAAAAATGCTAGACATCAAAGGAAAATAAGAAGTGACTAGAATTTCTAAAAGGGTGGGTCATAATTCTAGTTTTCTAAGACGATCAATAGGAACTCCTAGAGCTAGATCATAGGATCCTAGAAAAAGAAATGACCTCAAAAAAGAGGTCAACAGTACAATAATTAGCAACTATGGGTGATCAAATTATTAAAAGTTGTGAACCCTTTAGATATCCCGAGTCTATGGTTCAAAGTGATAGTGATATAGATGGAGATGTTATTAGTAGAATTCAAGTTGGTTTGGTTGGTTGAAGTGGAGGAATGCTTCGGGACTATTGTGTGATAGAAAAGTACCATTTAGACTGAAAGAAAAATTTTATAAGATGGTGTTGAGACCTGCAATACTTTATGGCACTGAATGTTGGCCTTTAAAAGAGAAGCATACAACTAAGTTAAGTGTCACCGACTCACCGAGATGAGAATGCTTAGGTAGATGAGTGGCTTTACACTTAGAGACAAAATGCGAAATGAATATATCCATGACAGGGTTTGTGTAGCTCCAATGGCGGATAAAACTAGAGAGAGTCGTCTTAGATGGTTTGTTCACATTAAACGTTGACCATCTGATGATGTGATTAAGAGAGTAGATGTTTTAGATTCGACTTATGTTAAGAAAGAAAAAGGTAGACCTAGAAAGACTTGGACATATTTTATAAAAAATGATCTTAATTTATAAGAATTAAATGAAAATATGACACTCAGTAGGACACAATGGAAAAAAAGGATTCATGCAGTCGACCCCACTTAGGCGGATAAAGGCGTATTGTTGTTATCGTCATGTTACTGTAATTTAGAGGCATGATTATTCACCGAATTGTCATAACTCATTATATTTAAAACTATCAAATTTCATGTATAAACTTAGACTTAAAACTATGTGAAAAAAAGGGAATATATATATTGAATAGGTGGCCAAAATAGAGAAATGTATGTTCAGTATTATTTTATTATAAGTTTATTTAAATTATGTTCGTTAGCGGTTCTTTCGATTTATTTTGATGATTATTTGTTAGAGGCATAAATCACAATCAACTTAATTTCACTATATGATCGTCTATTTTTATCTTGGTAATTCTGAACCACTGGGTTTGGTCGTGACAATGACTCCTACAATTCTTACTAATTTTCTATTTCATGCCATGTCATTTATAAAAATAACTTCATATTTCTTAAGAAAAATTTTATCATCTTGCTCATGCTTTTAATCCATCAGTATTTCTATGTACAGTAATTATCACAAAAATAGAGAAAATCTTCATTTTAGAATTTCAAATCTCCATACATGAAGAGAGCTACTTTTTATAATGGGACTCTATTCTCAATAGATCAATGCAAGTTGTTACATCAACTGATTTGTATGAGTGTACGTCATTATAGCATGTAGAAATTAATGGGGAAATGATCGTCGTTAATATGTAAAATGAAAATTGTTTTATTTAAAATTGAATCCCTCATGTGGGTTAAAGAGTCCTTATTTTTAAATGCATATATAGATCTATATACTTTCTATTTATATAATAATGTATAATAAGAGAACGGGAGGTAGAAAACCTCTATCCTGAAAGCCCAAATGGCGATGGACTGATATTGTTCTCTTAAAATTTTGAGAATTTTAATTTTTAAATTTATTATCAAGGTGAGAGATTAAATGGCTTATTGAAAACATAGAAGTTATGAGAGACCCATGCAATCTTTACCAGGCTTTCCATTTTATTGCCAAATTATTTATCTGAATGTTTTACATAAAATATTCTACCCACATCTCTCTCTTATATTTGTCAAAAGAAAAAGGGGCATTGACATACCACACAATTCTTATATATTTACACCTAAGCTTTTATATTTACGTATATAACACTCAAAACTTTTAACTCTCATAAAAAATACCATCATTATTAGTTTTTTAAATGTGAAATGAAATGCATATATTTATGACATCAAACTGTTAGAACTATCAATAACAAATTTTTGGTGTTAGATATGTAAATACATAAGAATTGTGTGGTGCGTATATAAATTTCCCAAGAAAAAACTATACATATATTCAATGTGAAACTCTTGGAAAATTTATCTCAAATGTAGTTCGCAATTGTTGATATTTGAATTCCAACAAAGTTTTCTGTACCATACAGGTGATCGCTGCAGTCACATTTCAAATAATTCCAGCTGATACACAATTTGTGGAGATCCCTCTTGCTGCGGTTAGTTCAAATTTTCAAAGGAAGGTATAGATATGTACTTAACTTTTATCATGACATCCAAAAACACTATTTTCATCATTCTATTTTTCTTCATCATTGTTTTTGGAGATATTTCCTCTCAATAATATCATAGTTCTGCTTCACTTGATGTAAAATGGTCATCTTTTAGTAATTGTTTATAGATAAATTAAGTCTGGAGTACTGATTTATTAGAAAAAAAATTTAGAACATTGCATGTTGTGTCAATGAAATTGTTTTTAATTATTAATCTTTTTCTATCCGTTTATTGTAACGAGCATCTCCATTTTTATTATTATACAAAGAGGGCCCTTTACTTTTGGTCAAATTGTCTAAGTTTAATCTTTCAATAAAAAAAAAAAAAAAGGATTTGGAAAAATATATTATTGCCCGTCAATTAAATATAAAATGAACCAAAACTGACTCCCAACTTTGTTGCATCCTCCAACCTCTTCAGCCGCCTCTCGTCATCAGTCACTATGCATCATTTTGTGCATTATGTACGATTGATCATTTATCTTTTTCCATCAATTAAATATAGCTCAATTCCTTGTCATGAAGTTTCCTTTGTTCAATCAGCATCAACACAATTGTTGAAGTAACAAGAATGATTGAATAGCCATAAAAGCAAAACTTAATGTCTCCATCCGCTCTTTAGCATCAAAATGCTCCCAAATGCTTTGACAATATCAATGTTTTCAAAGTACTAAGCACAGTGCAGTGCATGAGGATTTCTTTTTTGTTTTTTTGCCTCAATACACAATGGGCAAAATAAAACAACATTTTTTATGAATTAGAGTGTTCATGACTTGTGTCACTTATATACTTCTATTATGTGCATATATAATGGTCATTTAATCAACCAAATTTAATTCACATTAGGCAATAGTTTTCATCTAATATAATTTTTATGTTAAATAACTATAATTTCTCGCTATTTGAAAGTCCAAAAAAGATCGAAAACATAAAAGTTTGAGTGATAAAAAGTTATTTTTAAAAATCAAGAATACTTTTTGGCATCAATTGACTTGTTAGTGACCAAGAGGTGAGGAAAGTGTGACGTTACTTGGATGTGAATATGAGAGATTGAGGAGCATTTTTGAGAAAAGCTTGGAGTGAGAAGTTGCTTGTGCCAAGCTGCCAACAAGAAGAGCCACCGAGAAGCAGCGTATAAATAAGTAATTACCATGTGAGAGAACATGATGAAAGGAAATTTTAGAGAAGTGATTAGATACAACATGTGAATGAAAAATTAATGAGCAACGATTTAATGATAGAAATAGTGAAAAGAAACAAAAACCCATGTCTCGTTATTGGGACATACTAAACTGAACCATGAAATATGAGCTAGGATTTTGTTATGCTTTGAAGCTAGGCACAAAATGTGAGAAAGGGTGTAACACACACAATTTGCTCTAACCTAACTCTTCATAGGAATACAATGTGAAAGGCTAGCACATCTCTTTACTTCACTCTTAAAGCTCTGCTTTGCAGTACACTGTTAGTAGCTTTGGACATATTTACCTTACTACCCATAGTCACAATTGTCAATACTTCCAGTTCATACGACGTGTTAGTGATAACCAATAATACACACTATGAGTCATGATCTCAATTATCAACACCTCAAATATGTCCCAAATGGGATGGATGTGCATGACATTGACAGATGGTGAGTTATGGGTCGTTATCATAGGTTGCTCAAGAAGCTTCAAGACACTGAAAGAGTCAACGGTTGGTAATCAAATATATGGATAACATCTTTTTCCTTTTTTTTTTTTTGTGGGGCGTTGACGAAGGTGGAGGAAAGGGAGAAGAGGAGGTGATTAGTGCATTTTAGGATGAGAAAAATTTACTTTGGTAGAAAAGCGAAAAAGGGGTGAGGTTATTAGGACATCATTTTTGGCTGGAATTACACATTTGTAATTATCATGAATAAAGAAGTTAACAACGATATTCTGGTCCAAAGTATAAGGGTATGTGCTTAAAGTATAATAACCCTTTATGCCATGGAAGGCGAAGAGGGTTGAGTTATCTTAGTTAATAAAAAGAAACTTTTTTTTTCATGCTACCATGGAAGGGGTATATGTTTCAAAAGTGTTTAGTAAAAATAGCTATCATTTTTAGTTCTGCTCCCTTGAGTGCCCAACTTGGCCATAATTTGGTCAAATTATTTTATGTATGAAATAATAAAACATCTATGGATAATGTTCAAGCAGGCATATAGATACATGAAGAATAAGAAGTCAACAAACAAATTATTTTAGGTAACATGCATTAGTTGAATGCATATTTGTTTCATTATTTTATGTAAGCACAAAATTTTGAAAGTCACAAGTTTCTAAGTTTTTTTCCAATATAACATTGCTTTTAATGAAGTATAATATATATCCTTTCCAGGGGATTGGTTGCATGTTGTATGAAGAATTGAAAGAAAGGCTTGGAAGAGTTGGGATTTCAACATTATTCTGCTGGGCTGATATGGAATCTGTGCAATTTTGGCTTAAACAGGTATCAATAGAGGACAAGGTGTCATGGTTGTCTTTAGCGAAGAGGGGACTAATATTGTGTTTGGTTAGAATTGTAAATCCTTAAAATCATCATTATTAGCTTTATCCCAACAATTTAGAGTTGGCTTTATGAATATCATTTTTATTTATTCCAACTAAATATTTCCCAAGAGTTAAACCTTTTACAAACCTATCATTTTGCGCTTATTCTATTATGTAAGTTTAGATCGACCTTTTTTCCTTCCTAACACTATCACTAATTTTTTTCTATTAGATTAAAAGGTACATTTTCTTATATTTTTATATATGTTTAAATCATCTAAACTTATTTTCAATTCTCTCATATTTTACACATGTCACTCTAACCCTCCCATTACAACCATTTTTAATTTATTCTTTTTAGTTTTATCACACATGTATCATAATATTTTTATTTTTGCTCAATTCGCATATCAATAATTTTTTTACTGCCCAGCATTTGAATCCAAACGCCATTATTGACATATATGGAGCTTTGTAAATTTACATTTAAGTCCTCGTAACAGTTTTTAATCTCACAAAGCTTCTATGGGTCATTTTAACATTTCAACCTCGATTCTAGAAATTATATTCCGTCTATATCTCTACTTTTTTGTATGATATATCCAATAATCTAATAGTTATATTGAATGACAACTGTCAATATTACATTCTTTACAATTACATATCATATACTTATTCTTTGTTTTATTAATTGTAAGTCATCCATCTTCTAATCATCTTCACTATATTTATTTTACACTTCAATGGGTGTCTTACCAAGCAAAAAGGCAATATTTTTGTTGTAAGCCTGTCTTAATTGAAAATATTTGAGTCATTCCACAAGCAGTTGTATTACCAATGAGCTCTCTATCATACTGTCTTTTATAGCACTAACATACCTTCTAAAGAAGCATTTCTGGCTTGATTCCTACCAAATTAATATCTTAGAGTTTTGTTGCTCGTGCCATACAGGGTTTCATAACGGTAGGAGAAGTGGATGGCAAAGGAAAAGCTCGAAAACTGCCAGTAAGAGCTAATATTAGGAGGGCATTGTGCTTTCCTGGAGATGCTACTCTGATGGTTGCACATCTTAAGAAGGATATTCAACTTTGGCATTCAAAGAACAATGTTTCCTTGTCAGATACGATAAATACGAATGGTATTTTCACCTTATATGTTTCCTTTATATGAACTTATGGTGGGCTCGTTCGTAGCTGATACCGTAGTTTGATTTGAAAACTGAACTATAGGCTTCTCAAATTATAACCTTCAACTATAGGAATTGTTGTTCCTTTTCCATTGTTACTTTTGGACTGAGCCGTTCCCATTTCCATAAAGTGGAGATATGGAGATTAATAAAGTAAACTTTTATTTCAACTTATTTACGGCTGGGTGTCGGTATTTTTCCTTATATTGTATGCTAAAAAGTCCTCTTACAGCACCTTTTTAAAATATTTATGTCATATTGAAGTTATTAGGAGACAAATTATTGATAAAAGAAAGGTAAACCATGCTATACAGTTTTATCATTTACTCGTGAGTGCCAAACCATGTGATATACTATTCCATCGTTTATTAATTTGATCTCTTTTTGGAGCTTTCATTCTGAATTACATGCCCGCTCAAACATCAAATTTTCTATATCTCCTACATCTCGGAGGACCTTTACATTAAGATGTTACAAGGAATTCTTAATGCTGAATTTAATTTCGCTTTAACTTCCATAGATGTTACTGAAATTGCTTGCCATGCTGATGGAAGATTGTTCTCTTCTTCTCGGTTAAGAGGAAAGAGGCTAGTATGGGAAGCTTCTGTTTCCTCTTTGAAGTCAAAGAGAGTCAAAGGAAGCCATGCACGTGATGATTCTTTTAGTTCTGATCAAAATTGCGAGCCTCTTAATGAAGGAATTTATTCTTGCTTCAGCGAACACTCTTGTCGTCCGTTATCGAAAGAAGTTCCTAATTCTGCCACCTATTCTCAAGGGGAAAGGTTAGCACAGGAAAATGCTGGCTTAGGTTTTAAAGCAAATTGCCCGAGAATCATGTTAATGAATATTGCTGATGATGATAAGAAATCAAAGCTTACAACGGTATGGACTGTAAATATCACTTTTTAATGCATTGCTATTGTGATGAATTATTTTCTTTCTTTTGTTTCATATGAATGTTCTTAGCACAGGAAAAACAGTTTAAAAAGAAGGGGCATTTACATACATAGCACGCAATTCTTATGTATTTACATTCTCACACCTAAACTTTCATATTTACACATAATACTCAAATTTTTAATACCACATAAAAAATAGCACTATTATCTCTTTTTAAAAGTGAAATACACCTTTATATGCGCAGGTTTAAAATACCAAAGTGCTCTGTATGTAAATGTGAAAATTTAGGTTTAGATATGTAAATACATAAGAATTGTGTGCTACGTATATAATTGACTAGCTAATGGTTTGTATCTATGACAAGCATTTAGTATTGTTAGTCCAAAACATGAAAGCTTCGGAGGTTTTAATTAAGTTGGCCTTCTAAGAGCTGTTTACTTTGATTTATTAAGCCTGTTAAGTGAAGCAAATCCCTCATCTATGTTCAGATTTTGTTCACCAGACTGGGTACCACAGTTGATTGTGTTAACTGCCAGATATGAATCTCGTCAATGGACATTATGCATCTTCATTTAATTCTAAAATATCTTAAGGGAAGATTTACATGCATACCGCTCAATTCCTATGTATTTACATTTCTAATACCTAAACTTCAATTTTTACATACATGCCATCTTGCCTATAAATGAGAAGATATATTTCACTTTTTAAAATTTTAAATAGTGATACTTTTGATGTGATATTAAAGATTTGGGTGATATAAATGTAAATGCAAACTTTAGATGTTAGATATGTAAATTTATAAGAATTGGGTGGTGTTGTAAATGCTCCCATCTTAAATTGGAAGTACTTGCCATTATGCTTTACTCTGTGGGTTGCAAATTTTAGCACTCAATTTATTCGCTTCCTATGCTTATGAAAGCTGTAAAATCATTCAATTTGCATTATTGAATGAACGAATATAGGAGTTTCCAATAATCAGGAGTTTCCTTATTTAAATCATGAATGATTATGGTGAATGAACAATTATAGTGCACACATTGTTATTAGAATCTTCTGTTCCAACTAACTTTTGGGCGGAAGCTTTATCAACTGCAGTTTATCTGATATCTGATTAATGTTTATCTGATTAATCATTTACCATCTCAACAATTGAAGTTTGATTCTCCCTACTATCGAATTTTTGGTAAACATCCTAATTATCATTTGCTACATATTTTTAGATGTGTTTGTTTTTTTCATTTACCTCGTGAACGTTATAAGTTGACAACACAATCTGTTCGATGTGCCTTTATGGGTTACAATTTTAATTGTAAAGGTTTTGCATGTTATGATTCAATTAATAATCAATGATGTATCTTCTGGGATGTGATTTTCTTTGAACATGAATACTATTTTCAACATCTGATACTATTGTACTTCCTCACTTTAATGATTCTTCTTTTGATAAACGGTTCACTTGACCTTGTTTACACACAACGCCTGTCCCCTTCATCTCCAGTCCTTCCCAACTCTGCTCCTTAAAATGCTTCAATGATTCTTCGACGATCAACTCGACACATTCGTCCTTCGAATAGATATGACTATTCTGCAATTTTAACTAATACTACAGTTGCTAGCTCTTATTCTCAGGCTGCTAAACAGACTTGTTGGATAAAAACCATGCAAGAGGAACTTCAGAAACTTCAAGAGAATCACACTTGGGATATTGTTTCATTTCCTGCAGGTGTTAAACCCATTGGATGTAAATAAGTTTATTCTCTTAAGCTTTGATCTGATGGTTCCCTTGACATATACAAGGCAAGATTGGCAGCTCTTGGCAATCGACAGGAATATGTGATTGATTATGAAGAGACCTTTGCATATGTGACTAAGATAATAATTGTTCGGTTTGTTCAATCTATTGCTTCTTCTAAAGGCTGGTTCTTACGACAGATGGATGTTAAGAATGCATTTTTGCATGGGGACCTCAAGGAAGATATCTATGACTCCTCTTTCAAGCTTGTTTTCTACACCCTCATATGATGTTTGTAAGCTCAAACGGTCTCTATACAGTTTGAAATAGGCTCCACGGGTCTGGTTTAAAAAGTTTTGCAATACGCTTCTTAACTTCTCTTTTATTCAAAGTCTGTATGATTGTTCATTATTTCTTTGCAAGACTGACAAGTAAATTGTTTTGTTATTAATATATGTTGATGATGTTGTCATCGCAGGATCTGATACTTAATTGATGTTTCAGTTACATGAGCGTTTTAGGGTTATTTTTATAGGAAGGATTTGGGGTCTTTAACTTATTTCTTAGGTCTTGAGGTTCACGCTTCTCCCGTTGGCATGTTTCTTCATCAGCATAACTATAGTAAGGAACTCATTGCTTTGGCTGGTCTTCAAGAGGGTCGTGCTGTTGATACTCTTTTGGAAGCGAATGTTAAATATCAACAAAATGATGGTGATTTTATTTGATCCATCTCTTTATAGACAACTTGTTGGGAGTCTCAATTATCTGACTATTACACGTCCTGATATTTTATTTGCTGTGCAACAAGTTAATCAATTTATGTAGGCACCTACACATCTTCATTTAGTTGCAGTTCCACGTATTGTTAGGTATTTGAAGGATACTTCTCATCGTGGTTTGTTCTTCTCTGCGGAGTCTCCTATTCGCTTAATAATCTATAGTGATGCTGATTGGGCTGATTCTGATACACGTTAATCTATTACTGGTTATTATATGTTTCTCTGCAATTCTTTAATTTCTTGTAAGAGTAAGAAATAAGATCGAGTGTTTAATTCTTCTACCGAGTCTGAATATCGTGCTATGCCCTCTGCTTGTTTTGAGATCATTTGGCTTCTGGGCTTGTTGGCTGAGCTTGGTTTTCCTCAACTCGAGTCTACTTCTCTTTATGCAGATAATACTAGTGCTATCTAGATTACTGCTAATCATATCTTTAATAAGCGCACAAAACACATTGAAGTGTATTGTCATTCTATTCGAGAAGCTTATGATAACAGTGTTATTTCTCTGCCTCATATTTTTTCGGATTTTCAAACGGTCGATATATTTACTAAGGCTCTTTCTCGGCAGCATCATCAGTTTTCTGTTGGCAAATTGTTGCTTCTTGATTAGTTGACATAAATTTGAGGGAGGATATCAATCAAGAATGACAGAAATCAGGCAGCTGAATTAGGAGTTTCCTTATTTAAATTATTTCCAATTTCTCTCTCCTGATTTTTCTCTCAAATTGTTAATTGTACATATCCTTTCCGTATAGCTGAATATATTTAGATTAGGAATATGTATTAGGTTACCTAAAATAGATTGTACATATTATTATTTATTGGAATGAAAGCAAAGGAAAGTTGTGAACGAAGTTGTTAATTTGATCACAAACGAAGGCCTATTTGATCAAATTTGATCACAAATTATTGTACATATTCGGCCAATTTTCTCAAAAGTTGTTAATTTTACAAAACAAAATTGCAGTAAATAAATTTAAAAGATTTTGTATTACTCTATAAAAATGATTGCATAATGAGATTTATCAAGTGAATGGTGAAAGACTGAATTGCAATTTAAGACATAAAAACTGAGCAGGAAATAGGATCTTTCTATCAATTTTATGCTCTGACATGCAAGTCTTGCCGTTCTATTGCATTTTTCTATTAAGATTGTGTAAGTTCCCGTCATTCTAGCATCATTTAATTTCAGAGAAAAGGTTGAAATGGTCTGTGGTCTATTTATGAAAGGTTGTTGTAGGTTCAGACTTTTTATTGTATCCAATTTAGTCCTGTGACACCCTAACTCTAATTTAAAATATTCCTTTGACTGAAATTTGATCCAAAATAATCCAATATAGGGGGACTATTTTGGATCATATTTAAAATGTCAATCGGACTAAATTGAATCTTTTTATAGTTTCACTAAAATGGCCTCATATAAATAATCATGGACCATTTTAAACTTTCTTTTTAATGTTATTTTTCTTGGAGCTCAGAATCAGATTTTCCATGCAGATTGTAGAGGAGCTTGGGGGCTCTGTAACATCTAGTGGAAGCTCTTGCACGCATGTAATAACAGGGAAAGCAAGGCGGACATTGAATTTCTGTTTATCTTTATGCTCTGGGTTCGTTTTACTCTATTACGTTCAAGATTGTTGTGATCCATCCATCCATCTATTATATATATATATATATATATGTATATATATATATATATATATATATATATATATATATATATGTATATCTATATATATCTATATGTATATATATGTATATATATATATATCTGTGTGTATATATATCTGTGTGTATGTGCGCACGCATGTGTTTTCTATTTTTTTCTTAATTTCTTGCTTGTTTAATCTATTTCTTTCTATTGAGAGGATATGGTGAGTTCATTTTTGGATTCTTAAGCAGCTATATGCATGTATAATATTTGGAACAGAGTAAAATGTTAATCTGCATTGGGCATGGATGAAATAAAGCTGCAGAACACGTGCTTCGGTCTGTAAGATGGCTATGCGATGGGTTATTTAATTATAAACATAATAAATTATGTCTTAAATGATCCGTTATTATTTACATTTCTATCCCTAATGATCTTCTTAATGCATATTTTTTTATACACAAAATGCTATGCTAACATGTAAAATTATCATTTTAGCCACCTCAATTTTTCATATGGCATTGATTTCTATATGCTCATGCAAATAGCTATGGTTGTGAGGAGTCCTTTTTATTCTCTGAGATGTATTTCAGGCAAGTCTTGGTTTCAGTGAAAAAAATGTCTTCTATCAATTAAATAATTTTGCCTCTTGCACAAGCGTTTTATTCAAAGAAGATTATTTTGGAACTTTAGTTCTATATATTCTTGGTTTCTTAAAGCAAACCACACCAAGCTATAAGATTTTCCATGAGCATACATTTCATCTTTTATTTCCTTCAAATGTTGCATTTGCACTACTATAAAAATAATGTCAAATGTATACAATATTATGCCTCAGCATTTACAAAATGAGACTTATTTCTAAAATAAGAGAAAAAAGAGCATGTTGCTCATCTACATCTTTACCGTTTGCAGGAATTGGATAGTTTCTGCCAAATGGTTGAAATCTAGCTTCCGAGAAGGCAAGTTCATAGGTGAGTGTGCAATATATCTTGATGCTTTGATTGGTCAAGTTGTCAATTTGTTCTATCTTTTCTTAGATATTAGTATAATGCGTATACAAAGTATTTTTTAAGGCAAAACTTCAGACTGAATTATGTTAATACATTTACAGATGAATCTCAGTATATATTGGAGGATGAGGACTATCTTTTGAAGTATAAATGTAAGCTCAGAGATGCTGTTATGAGAGCAAAAGCAAATCCCCATTCATTACTAGTAGGATATCAACTCTGCCTTTCTAAGCATATCCAACCATCCCTCAAAGACCTTGCATCCATCGTATTATCTGCTGGTGGCAGTGTATGTATCACTATGACTGCAGGCACCTTTTTTGTTTATTTTGTTGTGCATGTTATTTTATCAACTTTAATATCATGTTGCTGTATGGAAAATATGGCCAATGCAATTCTGTTTTTTGTTTGGAGGCATGTTGACTAATTAATCACCAGTGTTGTTTTTTTTTTAATTTTTAACAACCTAATGAGGTACCTAATTTGCAATATTTAACTGCTTTTTTTAGAGCAAGTATTTACACAAATATGTATTCAATAGTTTTTTATAATCATTGTCATTGGTTTTTTCTTAGTTAAATGGGATTGAAATTATGTATCTTTCTTCTTCAATCATTCTTATTGTGTAGGTGACATTAATTATAGTTTATATAAATCTTTGTGCATGATTATTTGCCGAATTATATATATGTCTGTGTTACGTTAGTGCCTAACCTAAGGGCTAACTGGACACTTACAGGAGGATGTACCTAATCTGCAATATTTATTTCTATTGGTTTGCATTAGAGATCGACTTTAAGTCCATATATTTTTGCTTTAGTTATGGATGGTCTTATTGGATACTTACAAGAGGATGTACATTGGTGTATGCTTTTTTTTTTTATGATATCCTTCTCGTGGATAAGACGAGAGAAAATTCTCAAGAAAAAAGTTGAATTAGGGAGGTTTACCTTGGAGTCTAAAGGCCTTCGTTTGAGTAGAACTAAAACTGAATACATAGTATGTAATTTTAGTCGTAGTAGCTCTAGTGATAGAAATGTAACTATGGGTGATCAAATTATTAAAAGGTGTGAATGCTTTAGATGAATGTGAATGCTTTAGATATCTCGGGTTTATTGTTCAAAGTGATGGTGATATTGATGGGGATGTTATTAGTAGAATTCAAGTTGAATTGAAGGAATGCTTCGGGCCTATTGTGTGATAGAAAAGTACCGCTTAGATTGAAAGGAAAATTTTACAAGATGGTGGTGAAACCTGTAAGCTTTATGACACTGAATGTTGGCTTTTAAAAGAGAAGCATAAAACTAAGTTAAGTGTTGCCGAGATGACAATGATTCAATGGATGAGTGGCTTTACACTTAGAGACAAAATGCGAAATGAATATATCTGTGATATGGTTGGTGTAGCTCCAGTGACAGACAAAATTAGAGAGAGTTGTCTTAGATGGTTTGGTCACATTAAACGTTGACCATCCAATGAAGGTGTAGATGTTTTAGATTCGACTTATGTTATGAAAGACAGAGGTAAACCTAGAAAGACTTGGACATATTGTATAAAAAATGATCTTAATTTATTAGAATTAAATGAAAATATGACACAAAATAAGACGCAATGGAAAAAAATGATTCACGTAGCCGATCCCACTTAGTGGGATAAAGGTTTTGTTGTTGTTGCAGGACTAAGGTCAACTTAGCCTTATATTATTATTATTGTTGGGTATTAATAGGCTTATTCTGTTTAGGGTTAGGTTTAGAGTTAGGAGAGATTTCCTACCTTTTAAATCGTAGGAATTGAGAGTGATCGCCTACCTCTCGAATTATAATTGTTTATCTTTGTTTCTTTGTTGAGTTGTTTGAATTAGTAAAGAAATATTATATTTGGCTTAATTTCTATGAACAAGTGTGCCAATTTTTACGTCATATTATTTTGTATCAAATTGGAATCGAAACAGTCAGTTCTGTTCTAGAGTTAGGCTTATAGGAAAGCCACAATGAGATCGCAACATATCGAGACTCGAAAGTTAAGCTTTTAGCTTGCGGGGAAGGCCACAAAGGAATTGCGTCTTCAACCTTTTGTGAAGATCGACGAAATCAACTAAATCGTGGCATACAGGGATCTGTAATTCACGACTCTTCTGTTTCTACGTCTTCTACTCGATACCGTTGCGATTAAGCTACCTGGGAAGACAATGACTGGGAAGTGGCATACAAAGACCTGAAACTTCCATTTTCCTCTTCCTCCTGCGCCGTTTACCTGATAGAGTCTTGATCAGAGCTACCTGGGAAGGCAACGACTGGGCAGCGACGTACAGAGACCTGAAACTCCCATTTTTCTCTTCCTCCCACACAGTCTTCTCGATAGAATCGCGATCAGAGTTTTCTGGGAAGGCAGTGATTGGGAAGCAGCGTACAGAGATGCGAAACTCCCAACTTTCTTCAATTCCTATTCCTTAACTCCCACCTTTTCCCTGGTCTAGCTTTTTCCTCGCCTCGCGCAATAGTTGCGATTCCAAGCTATTTGGGAAAATGAGCCGACCGGACAGTCGCGATTGGAGCTACCTGGAAAACCACAACCATATTGGAGTGATCTTGAATCAGCTGTAAAACAATCGCTCTATTTTTCTCATCTTGAAGCAAATGATGGATTTCAACATATAAAAATTGTCTTTTGTGATAAAAAAAAATCTAAGAAGATTGACAGCCAAGAAAATAGATGATTTGGAGAAGAAATCTGAGGAAGAGATCAACCAAATCAGATCTATGATGAGGAAAGGTTCGTCATCATGGAGGATATGTTTTCTTCCATGGAGAATCGAATGAAGGACCGATTCGAGAGCATGGAGAAAATTTGAGAAATAATAAAAATGCTCATTGAGATGCAATCTAAGAGCCCGTCGGCGGCTAAATTTGCAAAAACTAAAGGAAAAAAGATTGAATGTGAGAAACACGAGGAGGAAAGCATCCACCATCATGAATAGGGGTGTAAACGAACCGAACACGAACGAACAAAGCTTGTGTTCGTGTTCGGTTCGTTTAAAATTTAGTTTGTTTGAAATAAGCTCGTGTTCGTTTCTTAACGAACGAGCCGAACACGAACCGAACAC